GTCCTGTATGTCTTATGTGTGTATGATGGATGCATCAGTAGCAGGATATGACATGATTCAGCCAGGCTGGATGGGGTGAGAGCGTAGAGCTGGACTGCAGCTTGACAAGGACACCTGCCCTTGAGTTGTTTCATGGCAGAGCTGCTGAAGACCTGCAAGAGCGCAGCTTTTCAGAGGCATCCTTCCCTCAGGCTGGCTGGCCCAAGACTGCGAGGAGTTTAGAGTAACCTGTGGGGTGCTTTGACATGGTCTGACCTGACATCTGCCAACAGTCTCAATGGCATAAAGCTATGTATCTGATGTCTCCTGGGTGAAGCACCAAATCTTCTCCAGATGCTACAGAAAAAAAAACCAGAGACTTGTCCCAAAGCATGACATCAAAGAAAATCTCATCTCCTAAATTCAGAGGAAAGTGTGAGTTGAAGCATGTGGCAGCTTCCTCTGCTCTCTGTCAGATGTTGCCGGTCCTTCCATCTTCAGAAGCATGATGAGGCTTGGGATTTAGGAAAAATGAACTCTTCTGCCTGTCTTAGCAGTACTGTCGCAGGAGTCCTCGTTCTGCATGGAGTTGGGTGTGTCTGTCCCTTCACTTGAACTTTCCCCTTTCCCATGGCTCCTGTTCTTAGTGTTAATCTGCTGGGGCACATCTCCGTGATGTGGCCACAGCTCAGAAGGGTTGTGTGCCAGGGTTGTTACGAGGACCATGGATTCCATAATTCTGTGTTTATGAGAGAAAAATTCCCCAGGCTGCTGACACCTGGGGATTTATGTGTATGGTTGCATGGGTGGCTGAATGAGCAGATGATCAGGTCTACAGACTCAGTATTGAGTCTTGAGGGTGCAGGTGTAGAGGCTATTGGAGAGTGGAGGGACAGCAGAAGGAAAGCAGAGGACTGTTCTGGTGGATTCATAACGGCACTGAGCACTGAACCACTGGTGGCTGTTGTGCAGCTAGATAAAGGAAAAACAGGTGGCAGCAAGTCAACCCTTTTGCACCTCTGGTGGCAAATGGTGGTAGCCCCAACCACAGATAGGAAGTAGAAGGAGAAAAGAAGGGGCAAACAGCATATTTTTTCTCCTGCTTAAGGCAGCAGAAGACTGCCACCGCTGCTTGTGCTTCAGGAAGGAGCTAGAGCACTACCAGCCATGGGAACATCACAGAATCATCAAGGATGCTTGTATGATTTTGTGGATAGCTGTGGGTAGGTCTCTGTTCTAGCCTAGCCCATCTTGTCTCATTTTAGGAAGTGTAGTGCCTGAGACCGTTCCAAAAGTTGCAGCATAACCTGGTACTTTGTCTCCCTCTTCTTTCAGCTGCTGACACCTCAGGGTGGCTCACCTTTCATTTGTAGTATAAAGAGGCCCCATCTTCTTGGTGCTAGCATCCTTAGCAAAACCTGTTATCCCTTCTTACAATGCACTGCAAGTGGAAAGACAGTGTAGAGGTTTTGGAAGAAATTGCGGGTGTGTATCATAGCATAGCCCTGCCAGAAGTTCTGCAGCCTGCTGCCTTGCATATCTCTGTCTCGTGTGAAATCTGTATCCCAGCCAGGAACATGTCGGAGGATTTTGCTTTTGGCTTCTATTTTACAGTGTGAAAAGCGGAACAATTGGACTACAGCTTTATTTGGGAGCTAAGTTTGGGGAGGGGAGTCAGGCTTGTGCTGTGATTTATCAGAATTGTTGGCTTTTCCGTGCCAGTGGTCTAAGTTCTGATTTTATCAAAGACACAGACAAAAGGACTTGAAGAGAGGCCTGCCCAGAAGCAGAATAATAGCAGTAATAAAATTTCATAAAAATATGAACGTGCGAAAACTGTGAAGGGTCTTTCGTGGCATTGCAGAATCCTGTTCTGTGTGCAAATTTGAGAGGTACTCCCAATGAAAAAGGCTAGCTGGCTTGGTTCTTGCTCGCATAGGACTGAGAGGCAGAAAAATCAGATGCAGGAGGCATAAAACACTCTGTTTGCTAATAAGTGGATATAGTTCATTGATGTCAACAAAATGTCAGCAAGAGCTGAATGGGGGCACTGTGTAATTTAGTGACCTGGAAGGTGACTGTCCATGATTGCAGAAAGCTTTGATTACAGCTGAAGAAGTGAAACAGAATTCCATTGTAAATGGCCATAATTGGTAAAACCAATCATTGAATCTGGTGTGCAGCTAGTACACAGTACAGTGAAGTTGTTGCCGTGACTCTGAGAGGCTGGTAAATGCCACTATATTCATTTTGCAGGTAAGTAACCGAGGTGCCTATATACCAAGAGAAAGACCCCAAATAAACTAAGCAACGCCTGCCTGACATCTCTCTTAGGGCTGTTATTTCATGTGTGCCTACTGACTATGCTGCCTAATCTCCGTACGCTTGAGAGCTCATCAATATGCTTTAAGCCACATCCTTTTCTCCTCCACGGTAGAGTTGGACAACATCATGGGAAAATCGGGACCTTGTTGCAGAAGGGATCATTATGCCACAAACACTCTAAGGGTTGGTGCAGGGCAGGGTTACAGGGATGTGAGCTAGAACTGGAGCTGCAGGGATGGTGGGATTTACAGTCGCTCCCTTGTTCAATATGTAAATGTGGATTTACTGTGTGGTTCGACTTTCTAAGATTGTGACAGTTTTTTGCTGTGTCTGGCTCGGCCAGGTAGCTGATGCAGTATGTCAGAGACAATTTGGCTATGAAACAGTACCACCAAGCACCTTCCTTTTTCGTTCTTGCAAATATCACAAGGCACTGGTTGACTCCGTAGCAAGGAGAACGGGACTTAAAACATTCTCTGAGAAGCCCCCTCGTCTTAGGGAATGACAGGGAAGGCAGACCTTTTCGGGGGCAGCCTGCAGGGAGTGCAGCCAGCTGGGCTCCAGTCTGGAGGCACTCCAAAGTGCAGGCAGCTAGTCACAAGCAATCCCCTCCTTCTCCTCTTTTGCCAGTGGAGTGGGACCTTGTTCTCCTCTGTGATTTTGTAGGTAAACAGGAGATAAATTTGGGTATGGAGGCTGAGCAAAGGTTTAGGGCCTTGCTGCTCCAAGGTAGCATGTGGGTTCTGAGACACCTTGGCTGATCATATGCTTTCGCTACTTGGCCTTGCGGCTGTTTGCCCTTTCTAGAGGCATGAAAGTGTCCTCTCACCTGCAGGACATTGGCTGGAGAGGGGACAGCCTGTACTACTTCCTGGGAGTTAAAAGAGACTTGGCACACTGTTACAATTTAAAAATAATAGGGGACTGCATCCTTAACTGGTGTAAATCATCATGAGATCAACTGATACTGCTTGAAGACTCAGAGCGTTGTCTTAACCTGCAGTTGGTTTTGTCTCCTGTTTTGCAGTCTGTGGTGTGTGTAGGTGGTGGTCTCAGGCTTTGAGTGAACATCAGTCCACTCTTGAGTTTCCACCAAACGTCCAGCCGTGTTTCACGTCAGCTCCCGCCTCTTCCTATTTACTACTGTCTGTCCTCCAGCCTTCAGGAGAAGTAGTGGCTTATCAGGAGGTGAAAGGCAGTGGTCTTCATGGAGCCTCCTGTTTCATAATGGCTTTTTTTTTTTTTTCCTTTTCCAGAGGGACGAATGCTCATTCAGGACATCCCTTCCATCCCCAGCAGAGGGCACTTGGAGAGCACGTCTGATTTGGTTGTGGACTCCACCTACTACAGCAGTTTTTACCAGCCGTCCCTGTATCCTTACTATAACAACCTGTACAACTACTCCCAGTACCAAATGGGAGTGACCAGTGAGCCTTCCTCAAGTGAAACAGGTGGTACAATTGTAGGTTCGGCCATGAAGAACAGCCTTCGAAGCCTTCCAGCAACATATGTGCCAAGCCAGTCGGGAAAACAGTGGCAGGTATGATGTTACAGAGGTGTTACACAGAAGAGTGAGGTGGACAATAAGTTGCTTCTTGGGCCTGATTCTGACTTCCTGTTTGCTGGTTTCATGGCAGTGTGAAACCAGAACCAGATTCCAGTGTATGATTAAGACCATCATTAAGAAAGCTAGCTGAAATGGGTGGTTGTGATTCAACACAACAAAAGCAGTGACATAGGTATAGGTAGGTTGCCGCAAGCACAGATAAAGGGCACCCAGTTGATTCTGTTTTCTGGGTTACGTCATAGTAGATTATGGGCTGTTTTCTGGAAAAAAAGAGTCCAACTGAATTACCCAGCATAGCATCCTGGGAGCTTCCTCTGTCATTTCTGAGAGGCTTTGTTCTTCAGGAAACCATTCCTTTCTCTTCTGACTTTCACATCCAAGGTGCTGAAGTGACCCAGGAGACCATGCTGTTGTACAGTGAGTTGGTGGCAGTCAGGTGAATGTGACATGGCACGTTGCTAATGGTGTGTTCTGGCAGTGTCAGCTCCAGGGATTGTGATTTTGACTTAGGTAGCTCAGGTTACATGCTGTGTCTGAAAGGTTTGCACCGGAGCTCTGTACTTACTTAGTTAAGCCCTCTCAATCTAGGACTTGGTAGTTGTAGCCTCCAACTTGGTACTGGTTGGAGGCTGGAAAAAGAGGAAATCTGCCAAGGCAGGGGATTCTTGGGAAAGTAAGTGGAGCCATTTCAGTGACCCTGAGACTCTTTGCTCTTGGGCTGCGGTGGTGCTTTTCTGTCTGAGGTTGAACTCGGGAGGCTACACCCTCTGTCTGTATGCACCCATGTCCCTTGTCCAAGGGCAGGAGAGGGCAGACCTCTTCTGTAGAGCAAAGGGTCTGTTGTGAAACCACTCAACAATGAAAGATTAAATGTCTATCCAGACGTGCTTTCTGAAGGGAGCAGATGGGTTGACCACTTTGCTGATGGAGAATTCCTCTAGCAATTCTGGCATAGGAACCAACTCTGAAAGGGCATTTTAACTTATGATACTGAGAAACTGGAACTAAGACCAGGGTGATTACAATTACTTTAGCAGCCTACATCACCTTCAGTGAGGCTTTCCTGTCATTAGACACTTTCTTCATGGAAAGGCCTTATGAAAGTGTGGAGGCCTTCTAGGGCAACAGCTGGCAGAGCCATGAATTTTAAGATCATGGCTTTACAGCAGTCTGCATTCAGTACTATTCCATGTCCCTTTTTTGTCACGAGTACAGCTGTATGGGGAAAAAACAGGTGTCTCCCTTCCTTCTGCTATGTGAGCCCACACCACGAGAGCTTTCTTCTCTTAGTGTGTAGATAGGCTTCACTGCAATAACCTTCAAATAAATGGAAGTACACCTTTTCAGTTAGGTTAGTTGGTAGCATCCGCTCTAGATGCTGAAATTGATCACCAGACCAGGGGGCAATTAGTTGAGGCAAGTAGGGAATAGGATTTTGTGTGTGGTAATGAGGTGAGGTGCCAGTGCTTTTTTAGCTTTTTCATTTTGGTTGATTAGGTTAACCTGCATGTCATAACAGAGTATTTAAGACACAAAGTTACTTCTTCGGAAGCTTTTGCAGTACCTAGCTTGTAAGAGCCTACTGCAGAGCTGATGCTTGGAGACACCATCACAACACAAATGAGGGGAAGCAACATTTGTCTTGTGAAAATAATGTTCTTGCAGGCTGCTAGTCCCATACTTCACCATTCCTCCAGCCAGTAGACACTTCTGTGATTTTACTTGCTTGGGAAAATGGAAAAGTACATTACAGGTATTGACTATCCTAGCATATAGTGTTTGAGGATGAGATAGATGAAGGTATGTTAAACCATGTTAAACTTTGGAATGAAGATGGTGTCCACTCGGTTCTGTTGTCATGTGCTGTCATTTGAAACTAGACTGTGTGTGTAAGAAGTCTTGACTTAGAGGGTCCATTGTCTCACCATGAGACTGCCTGTTTCTTGTGGGACCTTTGACACCCCTTAAAGAAATAGAATCAATAGTGTGTTTTCCATGCATTTTTCTCTTGGGGCCCTGCAGAATCTGTAACTAACTTCTGCTTAAGTGCCACTCAAATGAGTGGGAAACTGAAGAGGTGATTAAGGAAAAAAAGAGATGACTGTTGTCAAAAAGGACCGTTTTCCTTCCACCAGCAGGCTCCAAGTGCTGGGTATTCATTCCCACTTGTGGGATGTGTCGTGTGGTTCCATTCGCTTCCATGTGATTTTAGTGATTTACCTCACCTAAGATTTTAATTTCTCCTGGCAAAACCTTTTGGGATTTCTCAGTGCCGTTCTGGTGAGATGTCTGTGCAGAGAGGCTAGAGGTAGTGCTTTCTGCTTGCAGAAGTGACATCTCCCCAGCTTCTAAATGGCCTAAAACCAGGACGCGCCTCTTCTGTTCTGTAGGGCAGAGTGTAGCTCAAGGTCAGTGTCATGTAACTCACAAGCTGTTTCTCAGATGCTGATCTGCAAGAAGGATTGTTATTGCTGGAAGAGTTACGAATCATGGGGTTTGCATACTGTTATGACAGCATAACATTGCACAAATAATCATAAAAAGTTTTAGTGAGAGCTGGCTAGATAATGCTTGATGGCAGTGGGTGCAGTGATGCTGAGGTTGTAAAACACTGTGGCACTGAAGATGGTTTGTTGTAAGGGGAACGAGATCTCAGCTGCTGCACATGTTTAAATGTCGATTCTGCACATGGAAGGTTATCAGCAAGGGAAGATCACAGAAATATAGTGTTAAATGGAGAAGAATAAATAAGTTTCTCTGTGAAGCATGGTAAGGAGTTACAGGAGGGTTTCAAAGCATGATCCACAAAGAGGAATCAGACCTTGCTTACACCTTCAGGGGGTTTTGCTGGCAAACCTATGCAGGCTGATTCTTTCCAGAGGAAACATGTATCTTTACTTACCTACACAGGAATTTTTGCTGGACTGCCTAGACTGACTGGGTTTATTTTTTACATACCCAGGCTTTGTTAGCCAGTCTTCCAGTGCAAGCGAGTTTGCTCATGTGACTGTTTTGATGGTTTTTAATTTTTGCATCTTTTATCAAAATGATAGCTGTGCAGTGCTTGCAGTGACCAAATCAGGGCAGCTTCCTAAGCTGTGAGCCCACAGGAGGGTTTCTTTGTTGGTATAAACCACCCATGTGTTCACTAGAAGGTATCCTAGTTTAAGTGGCGTAGGTAAGACCCCTGCCTTTTCTAGGCTCTGTTGGTGGAGGCTTGCTTGTCCTGGAATAACTGTAACCACACAAGGAGAATTGCATACTTAAAGTAAGATAACTTCTGCATGCAGACAAGGCCTTGAGCAGCCCAGCTGTCTGCTGTTTCAGAATTTAGGGAGCAAGGGAGAAAAGCCAGGGAGGAAACGTGTGAGTGTGTGTGGGATGGGATGAGGATTAATGCATCATTGAGCCTTGGCAAATAAACTGAATCACTGAATCTTTAATGTAGATTAATGTCAGATTTCATTAGTCTTTGTTCTTTGGAGAGGCTTGCGTACTTGAGTGGATTCATAGAGGTGCAAATTTTTTAGATATTTCTCTGTAGGTTTTGTTCATTTGTATCTACTTACCACAGAATCTGTATCCATCGTGATTTGGTAAGCATAACGAAGACGATAGTTTTGGTCGAGACCCATTCGGTCATTTATAATTCTGCTGCTTTTGCCAGCTCTAAGGCAGATAATGAGATATGTCTGGTGTTGCACCTGAAGAAAAGACAAACTTGTGTTGGAGGGGAAATGTAGCGGTTACTGTGCATCTCCTTTCACTCTAGCTCTGTATGAGCATCTGGACCCTCCATTGAAGCTTTCACAATTGTTCATTACAACCGGAATTTATGTGCATTCAATCCAATTAACAGTTAAATGCATTCACCAACATTAGTAGTGCAAGTCAGAGTGTGTTGGTATACAGTGGAAGTTGGTGCTTCTGAAACTGGTCTCACTGAGACCCATTTAGGCACAGCAACTGGAAGATGATGGGGTGACTGCAGTCTTTTCTACCACAACGAAAGTAAAACCTGGATGGGCACGTCCGAATCTAATCAGCTTTAATTCTCCAGGCTGTCAATGAAACTCCTAGAGGGTGACCCACAGCGTAAGGATAATAGGGACTCCTTGTGAGTTGGCATCCTCCCCAAAAAGTGTTAAAATTCTTCTGGTTTCTACATCCAGACCATTAAAAATCTACAAGATGCAGAATGTGCCCCCACACCTGGGGACCAGTGCCTGCGTTTTCTTTGTTACTGTGGTAACTCCAGGGATCCTGCTTCAGAGAAACGTTAATGCTGGCTAGGAGGTTTTGGACAAATTTCTGAATTTCATGTAATTTCTGTTTCATGCTCTGAGGTGTTTGTTCCCTCCCTTCCTCCCTGCCTTCCTTCTCCTCTTCCTCCTTCCCTCCCTCCCTCTCTTCCTTCCTTCTTCCTTCCTTCCTTCTTCCTTCCTCCCTTTCTTCCTCCCTCCCTTCCTTCCTTCTTGGCAAACCAGTATCCTCAGTTCCAAAACCTCAAGTTTTTTGTTTTCTTAAACCACTTCAGATCAAAAACCTGAAATAAATATTCGTCGGAATCAGACTGAGAAATTTTAGCTAATTTTCCAATATGGGAATTACGTTTACCATTTGGAAGTGACATATTTAGCAGGTAGAAAACTGGTTTTTAAGAATTTTTTTTTTTAAGTAGTAAATGTATAAAACTGTGTTTTACTAAATCCAGAAAAGTGTTGCCATGATAGGGCAGCTAGCAGTTTCAACTCTTTAAGAGTAGCTGCTTGCTAATAAAAAAGGTTGCTCTTTTCAAGTTCCACAACCTGTTTCGAGTTTCTGGCACAGTTTTTCCTCCAATAAACCTGGGCTTCTTACAGAAATGTGAACTCTGACTCTCCAGAAATAGGTGTAAAATGCGTGTGTGTAAATATATACACATTGTGCAAGTCAACCGACACAATCCCAATTTTATATGTAAGCAGTGTATTATATACTGTATTCATAACATACCCTTCACACTACAGATTTATGCTAAAAGTATCCTAATGTTTCTGACAGCTCATGTGTGACATGAATGCAATCCATATTTCTTGGAGGAGCTAATCTAAGCGGTTTATTTTCCGATACTGCTGATAGGGCTATATCTCTAGGTGTCACCACAGTTGAGGTTCTGATGGTAACATATTGTTTATGGGTCACTGCCTTTGTCTAAAAGAATAGGTTGGAACAGAATAGCAAAGGTTAATTAAGTTTGTCTATCAAGGAGGGACAGATATAGATGTCTCTTGTATTTTCTGTGCTAGAGTCAAAGTAAGTCAAGGCAGGGTATCATAGACTCATTTTTTCCTTGTGCTGGAAAATATGCTTAGCTGGTTTCAGGAATGAAACAAAGACACCTTGGGCAGCGTGAGTGCAGCAGTAGTTGTCAGGTGTCAGCTCATGGGCAGTAGCATTTCAAGGTGGGCAAATAGCGGCAACCCTGGTTTACAGCTGGGGAAACTGAGGCAGGGAAGTGTTAAATATTTTGCCCACAGTCACACAGCCTGCAGGTAACAGAGTGGAGATTCCTGATGCCTGGATTTCCATGTCACTGCCCAGCGGATGCTAAAAACCGACCTATGAATTCTGTTGTTTGCAAACAATGACACATAAATGCAAACCACAATTTTATGCCCCCTACAGCTGGCTTTGTTTTTAAGATCAAGGCAGAGGGAGGAGACTTTGTTAAATTAACAGAGTTTCTGTGGTGTTTCCGTAATTACTGGTTTTAAGGCAGCTGTTGGTGAGTCATGGGTGAGGCAGAGCAATGGAAAGCCTGGGTGAAGTGGTTTGGCTGAGATCATGTGACACATCAGTGGCAGAGCTGAAGGATAGTACTTTCATCTCTTCTGTTGCTTTGAATTTTTTTGCAACCCTTGTCACCCAGGGTTAGCATCTGTGACCTCCTCCTACTTGCCCTTCTTGGGCATAAGACCCGTTGTCAGGATCAACTTCAGAATGTGATGGTGCTGCTAAGAGTAGCACTGGCTTGCTCACAAGGAGATTGCGGCTGGCAGCTTCTGCAAATAAAAGAATTACCTGGGTGATGCTCCATCTGAATTAAGTCATCTGGGAAGGGCAGGAGCATTTTCTAGTCTCTGAGGCTGAAGGGAGAAGTGAGCCACCACTTGCGCCTGCTCTTTTCTGTCTCTAATCTGGCCACCTCCTCTCCTCAGCTCTTCCTCCATGAAGAAGACGTGTAGAAGTTATTCAGATGCTTCCAGGAGCTTGGGAGGAGGAGCTGGGCTTTACCTTGCACTTCCACCAGCTGTTGAGAAAGCTTTTTTGCAGGAATGTTCTGAACGGTTGCAATAGCAGTTTGTTTATGCCTCCCTGGCTTTTGCGACATAGTCTGTCACTGTTGGGCACCACTGTAGAGCTGCACTGACTGTTGTGCCCAGTGATGGAGAAATCCTGCTTCCAGCTTGCCTGTTTGTGGACAAGCTGTAGCTGCCTTTTGGTTAACCATATTGGCTTTACAAGGGAACAGGGAAACAATTTCCACTGCTTGCATGGTCTTTTAATCAGGCCATAGGAGTTACAAGCATCCCACTGTTGCTGGCAGTACATCCTTTTAAAAGTTACTCTGTGTGCGCTGTGTTTTACAATTTAGGGGAACCCATAAATGCTGAGTAGGCCAAATGTGCTTCTCCGATGAAGTCAGTGAGGTACTTGGTGAATCAGTCCTGCAGCTGGGGCAGGACGTGAGCAATGTGTGGCTGAAAGGGGATGCACTGTAAGTGAGCAACTCAGGAGCTCAGTGTGGTCTCCGTAAGGAGCATGTGTGTACCCTTCCCTTCCACAGCACTTCCCCACCTAAAATATGCCTTGTTCCCTTGTTCTTACAGTGCGTAGCCTGCGGGGGTACAAACTGGAGTGGCCTATCTTGGCCTTGCTGTAGAGCTGGAAGGGGCAAGGGAGGCAGGAGGAGACACCAGAGGGCCAGGCATCTCCTCCTGTGATCCCTGCATGACCCCAGCATTCCCCCAGGACAGGACCCAGGGAAGGATCCCAAACCTGGCACCTGGCTGCAGCATTTGGAAGGCCGAATTGATCTGGGTTAGAAATAATGTGAATAGTCCAGGGTCTCCCCAGGGCTGTTTTTATCTCCCTTTCTGGCACCCAAAAATGTGCAAGAACTCTCCAGAGCTGCAAGAGTTAATGCATAGCAAATGCCCCTTCTCATGGGGTAATGATCTCTAAGCCCCCTTTTTAATGCAGCGCTAAGGTCAAGAATTTTTATGACTGGTTGTTTTTTTATTGTTACTGTAAAATAGGATTGCTAAGCACTATAAAAAGGAAACGTTATGGTTCAGATTTACTGTGGTGTGTATTCTAAACAGTTTAATAAAACAAAACCAAAAGCTTTTAGATTTTCTTCAGCGGTTAATACACAGCATATTCTTTGCAGAGCCAACCCTCTGGCTGCCGGTCGAACTGTGGTTCATAGACTTGGTGTGGGTAATAAGATTATAAAACATGTCTCTTGCTAGCCAGCTACCACACACTAATAATAATAGTAGTAATAATTCATGACATCAAGAGATTTTAGGTGAGTTGTTTTTTTAAGAAATGGAGAAAAACCGTAAGGAAAGATTTGAAAGGAAACAGGTCATGGCATCCACTCTACAGGGAGGGGAAACAGGCAAGTGATTGTTTCAGTGCCAGGGAGTAATCCCTCCATTTTGTTACAGCTGAAATAATGCTGTCTCCTGCAGGCGACCTTTTCTTACTTGTAGTGACGCACACATGCACTTGCACAAGGGAGAGGTGGAGAAGTGAGGACTGCAGATACTGCCCACAACCTTGCCCCACTGAGGGAAGGAGGATGGTGTGTGCAAAATGGCGGGCAGAGAGGAGTTTGCTAACTTTTTTTCCCCAGTACTTCTGGAGCTATTGAGCTTTGTGGATGTGCAGGTACAAAATGTCCTTTGGACTGAGCTTTTGGACAGTTTGTATTGCCCAATCCATAATTTCAGGGGAGAGGCAGCCTGGGTTTTGTTGAGGGAGTCTGTGCAAAGCACAGATGTCTTTTTCAAATAGGAGACTGCCCTTTTCCAGAACAGCAGTGGGGATGTAAGTGGCTCTTTTGAGTTCAGGCTTCCTTGAGATGACACATCAAATTTTTTTAAGAGCAATTTACTATTTGTCATGGATGAAACTTTGGTGCATATTGAACTTTTCCTGCATGCATGGGGTGCAGATGGTAGAAAAATCACCTTTTAAGTATTACTTTAATTTATAATAGAAAAACTCGTATTTTCACAGACTAAAGGCATGTCCTGCCAATCCCTCGCTATGTGTGCAGATGCGTGCGACTGCCCTCTGTCTCGGAGAGCACCAGCAGGATTTTATGTGACTTGGGCCACATTGTTTCCAGTGAGGCATACTCAAATGAGTGTTGAATTATTAAGGGAACCCTGGAAAACAAGGGCTGACTGCATTCTGGCTGCTTTGCTGGGAGGTGCCAGTGGCTCCTTCTGCCAGGACCAGACCCTGGGGGGTCTGATGGCATGGGGTGCCTGCCTGGGACGGCAGGTTCACCCCCTGCCTCCACTGTTCCCTGTATCTGAGCTTCACAGCCTGGGGAGGGCTGAGGAGCAGGGCTGCATGCGCGGCTGGCTGAGATCTGAGGAAACCACAGTGGAGCAGGCAGAGCTCCTCTAACCAAGGTGAGACGTGGCTGAAAAGGCTGTCAAGCACTTCTTGCAAAGATGACATCTAATGTCATTGCTGGACATGCGTTACTGCTGGCACTGCTACCTTTATGCCAGGTACAAAACTGTGATTGTTTTTTTTTCTCTGCCCAGAAGCTTTCCATCTTACAACCAGCAGACTTGGCAGTGTTACCTTTCCTGTTGAAAATCCTAATCTTGTGAAGTGTTTGGCTGCATTTTTTGAAGCACTGTAGCCACGTTACATTGTAGGGCTTTGGAACAAATAATAGTAGCTGGTAGTTGTTTCATAAAACAAAAATTTTAAAAAAAGCATTACTGCCTCTCTGAGGAGGTCAGTTTGGATGATTTCAGGGCACTAGAGTAGAATAAATTTTGATTTTTGACTGCTGCCAACTTTGCTGCAGGCTGCGGGAGGAAGAAGGGGTTGTCTGGTGAACACTGTGCTGACACAGTGAACCTGCTGGCTGGTGTCCAGCTGTGGTTCCACTACAGGCTTCCCATGTAGTCCGTCCACAACTTGGTTTCTCCAGGTAAATTGGGGAAATATTTTTCCATCTCACTGGGTAGTAAGAAAAGTAATGTGTTTGTGTGCATGTCATTGCTCAGATGCCATGGAGCATGTCCTGAGTGAGCTGGTGGATAAGACTGTGCTCCTTAGCCATCCCATAGGTCTGTGGCAGAGCAGTTGCCACCAGTCTGAGATGAGTTAGTCTCTGGGGAGGTGTAGGGACTGGGTGGACACTTCATCTCTGACACTGTCTGGGTGCATACAGTTGAAGGGGTCTGGAAAGCTTCCCATGTGCTGCAAGCAGGGGACTTGCCAGGAAGCTCCTTGCAGTGAAGGGTACATGCTTGTGTGCCAGATGCAACTTCACCTGAGGTAAGATAAACCAGCCATAGGTATGCTGGTGCTGCTGCTGCGGCTAGGTCACATCTTGTACCACACCAGCTCGCCTGTGGCTGAGCAGAGTGGGCATTCCATGAGCCAATGAAAGCAAAAAGCCAAGGCCAGCTTGTCAGAATTTTGTTTCCCATCTATCCCCCATGAAGTCCTTCAAATCCATGTGTGTGTGGGGCAGCGGGCTGCCAGCCTGGTGCCAGGGCCCAGCTTTCACAGGCTGCTGTTGTGATTCTGTCTCCAACAGGTGAAGGGCATGGAGAGCCGCCACGCCGTCAGCTCCCAGTACCACATGTGCTCCTACTACCCACCCCCTTCCTACCTGGGACAGGGGGTTGGCACTTCCACATGCCTCCCTCAATTCCTGACCTCTGAGGACATCCCCTCCTACTCGGAGTTGAAAGCGGGAGGTAAGTGCACCCACTCAGGGCGTCTGGGACTGCCTTGCCTTGGGGCAGGCAGCCAGGAGGTGTGGGTTGCTGCTGGGAAGGAAGCTAGGCATCAGAAAGTAGGTGTTTACAAGATGGTGGCTGTTTTCTGGAAGGCTTCTAGTGCAGTGGCGATGTAGGGCTGTTACTGTACAGTAGTGCAAGTTTGTACTACAGAAGTCTTCTGGTTCAGGAGCGCAGTTAGTCTGACCTTTGTGCTCCTGTGTATGTCTCTTAAGTTATACGAAGTGTCACTTGAGATGCTGTCTCTGGTGCTCGCCACCTGGCTCCCTCACAGGAACAAAGAGTTATCTTTGCCGCAACTGCAGAATTACCTTTCTTGTCTTTTCTTCTCAGAAGTGCTGTCTGTGATTTTTTTCCGGAGGCCTCCCACTGACTTGCTATCCCCTTCTTTCTGAACCATATGTGGGAACCATTCC